TTTTTTTTTTTTTTTGTCTTTCTGAGACAGGGTCTCGCTATGCAGTTCAGGCTGGCCTTGAGCTCACTTTGTAGCTCTGGCTGGTCTCGAACTCACAACGATCCTCCTGCTTCAGCCTCCCAGGTGCTGGGATTACAGGTGTGCGCCACCACGCCCGGCTGTTGTTTTGATTTTGTCTTCATTGTTGTTTTGCTAGCTTTTTAAATTTTTAAAACAATAAAAAAAAAAGTGCCCCCAAATTTAGAGACTTCAGCTGGATAGAAGTGCAGCCCACGCATGAGTTGTCCAGCATGGGGGGATGGCCGTGCTCCCCGCAATCGTTCAGGGACCCGGGGCCCTTTCCTTCCCATCGTCCTCCTGCTCCATGTCACAGTGTCCTTTGCTCTTTGGTTGAAGCTGGGTGTTTTGGAAAATCCCTGTCCTGGGATAGGAGAACTCACCTCAAAGGCAAAGGGGCCCGGGGACTGAAGGAAGGGGCAGACACATCCAGACCTGCAGCAAGTGCAGGGTGTCAGGACCTTGGTCAGAAGCCTCCTGTGAGAGGCAGCAGAGCAGGAGGAAGGTCCTGCAACCCATGCCCGCAGGAGGGGCTTAGCCAGACAACGGTCGCCTGTAGCCAGCTGGCATACACCTGCTCTCAAAAGCTGTTCACAGGTCTGGGCAGCAGTGACCCATGCAACACACTCGGCCGGCCCCCTTAGTGACGGCTTGTCTTACAGGGCTTGGGATGTGTGCCGAGGGCACCAGGAAGGCAGGCTGGCGCTTATGACCAAGATGGCAGCGGTCATGTCAAGCTGAGTTTTATGCCAGCTCACTGTTAATCCTTGTTCCCGACAGTGGAAAGGGAGGTGAGGAGGGAAACGAGTAATTTCTTTCCTTCCTCCCTCCCTTCCTTTCCTCTTTCTCTCCTCCTTTCCTTCACCTTCTTTTTCCTTGTAGTGCTGGGGAATGAACACAGGCCCTTCTCACTGAGCTACATCCCCAGCGCTTTTAAATTTTTATTTTGAGTCGGGCGTGGTGGCGCACGCCTATAATCCCAGCACTCGGGAGGCTGAGGCAGGAGGATCATTGCGAGTTCAAGACCAGCCTGGGCTACAAAGTGGGCTGAAGGACAGCCTGAACTGCACAGAGAGACCCTGTCTCAGAAAGACCTAAATAAATAAATAAATACATAATATAAATTTTTATTTTGAGACAGGTTCTCACTAAGTTGTTGAGTTACCTGAGCTGATATAGAACTCATGATCTTCCTGCCTCAGCCTCCCAGAGGACTAGGAGTACAGCCACAGAGCGATTTGTCCTGACACGTTCTGTATCCAGGTGGAGCTGCAGGGTGAGAGTCTCTGCTGTGTAGACCAGCCTGAGCTCCTGTAGTGTGTTCAAAGCCAGTCTGAACTACATAGCAGACCCTGTCTCAGAAACCAAAAACAAGGGCTGGGCATGGTGGCGCACACCTGTAATCCCAGCACTCGGGAGACCGAGGCAGGAGGATCTGTGTGAGTTCGAGGCCAGCCTGGGCTACAAAGTGAGCTCAAGGCCAGCCTGAACTACATAGTGAGACCCTGTCTCAAAAAGACAAAAAAAACAAAACAAAACCAAAAACAACAACAAAAAACCTCCAGTGCTACTTAGGGATATTCCAGCTGTGTCTCCAGGAAGGTCTGAGAGGTTTTGGGGAGCATGTTCCGAGGTTGGGCTCGCTGGGGGGACGGGACACCTCCACATTCATTCACTGGGTATTGCAGATGCCTGGCCAGAGCGGCTTGCAGTCCCTGTCCCATGCAGTTCAGGCATAGGTGCCAGGGGCCCCTCTCCGGGACACTTAGCAGCCTTCGCATCTGCCCAGTCTGACGGGAGCCTTCCTGCCTTGGCCTTCAGGATGCCGCAGGCCGGAAGATTGAGCAGCTGAAACAGGAATACAAGGAGATGAAGTCGCTCATTGACTCCTCCGAGGCCAGCGCTACTCGCAGGCTAAAGGAAGAGGAGAAGAGGGTCAGCAGCAAGTTTGACAGCATTTACCAGATCCTGCTCAAGAAGAGGAATGAGATCCAGACCCTGAAGGACGAGCTCGAGCTCAACCTGGCCAAGGGGGATGAGCTTGAGTTTCTGGAGGTGGGTGTTGAGACAGCTGCTGAGTACCTTCTGTCCTCCCAGAGCTGGGGCCAGAGGAGGTCATTAGAACATCCCTGATGAGCCGGGCGTGGTAGCACACACCTCTAATCTCTGCCCGTAATCTCAGCACTGGGGAGGCTGAGGCAGGAGGATCGCTGCAAGTTCAAGGCCAGTTTGGGCTACACAGTGTGTTCAAGGTCAGCTTGAACTGCATAGCGAGGTGCACACTGTATATTTTCTATACTGAGCAACAACTGGTCCCGGACTTAGGGGCTTCAGAGAATGTACTTTTGTTCTCTGTCCCCCTGGCCCAGGATCTGGACAGGGCTCCTTGGGTTATGTGCCTGAGGTCTCCCGAGGCTTCGGCTGGGTGTTGGGTGGACTGCACTGGTTTCGGAGCTCAGGCCTGCCCTCCAAGCTCACATGGTTTTTGACAGAATTCAGTGCCCTAGGGCTGTGGGATCCAGGCCCCCACTCTCTAGCTGGCTGTCGACTGAGGTCTTCTGTTGAGCTTGCAGCTTATTTTGTCAAGCCAGGGGGAGAATGTCTTTCCATCTCCCTGGAAGAACATTTACTTGATGAAGTCTGGCTCCTCTGGGAAAGTCACCCGTGGGCTCAGTCGACATCAGCTGATGTGGAGTCTTGATTGTACCTACAGAGTTCCCTCCTCTTTGCTGTATAACGTAAACTAATCGCGGGGGCGATGCCCTAGCCCACCGCTACCCCACGTCCTCAAGAGGAAGGGTTATGCAGGATGGGTACACGGCAAGAGCAGCAATGTGGGGCCACCCTAGATGTTACCTCCCACGGGCCTGCCCCTCCTCCCGGCCTCCTCCCCGTGACCCCAGAAGCGCCCTTCTGAAGCATTTGAGCTCTGCTCTTTCCGGCTTCCTGCCTGTGAGGTCCTTGGAGCCCAGGCCTCACCTTTACCTGCAGCTTCGTCTCTTGCCTGCACCCGCAGGCCCCGCTGTGCCCGTGCCCTAACCGCAGGGAGGCGCTCATCACACGCTGGTCGGTGGGCCTGAGGTGGCAAGGACCCTGCTGTCCTGTGCCCAGTGGATCCTGTTTCCAGGGCCAGCTCCTGTCTTCCTAGGGGCCCATTATTATTTTTTTGTTTTTTTCTGGTACCGGGAATCGAACTCACGACCTCGCGCTTGCCAGGCAGGCGCTGTGCCGCTGAGGTAAATCCCCAGCCTTCTAGGGGCCCATTACTGTGCGGCTTGTTGTTCCAGAGCATGTCACACTGCCTTAGCTGTGATGCAGAGGACGTGCCCTATTTCGCGTCTTGACCAGAAACCCATCCGTGGCTCCCCGCTCCGTCCTCCTTGAGTGTCCTGTGTGGAGCCCACGCCTAGCACGTGGGGGCTGTGGGGGCTTGTTCTGGGGGTGCGAGATGGGTGGAACCCCCTCCCCTCTCTGCGCGATGCCCCCCACGCGCAGGCCGAGCTTGCGCCGAGCTCGCTGAGAAGGGATTGAGTCTGGGCCTTTGCATCGGACTTGAGCCCAGGTAGGCTCAAAGTGGGGACCTCAGTGAGACCTTCCCTTCCTGTGGGGGGTGGCCAGGTGCTGTCCCTGGGGTTAGGGCTACTCTTCTAGGGAGGCGATGGAGGGCCAGTGCTCCTGCACTTCCCTTGCCACCGCTGGAGGAGGGCGAGAGGACCTGTGTCCCACCTGCTTCTGTGCCACTTGCTCGTTGGCAGACTTGCTGGAAGGACGCTTTAAGCTCCAGTGACTTCAGGCCTGAAGTCTGAGCTGTCTCCTTGATCTCAGCACCCGTGGGCACTGGGAGCCGCATGGGTTGGAAAGGACCGAGCCAGCCCCTCGCTCCCCCAGATGCCGCCTGCCTTAACCCCTTGCCTATTCCAGAAAGGGTCCAAGCTGCAAGGAATCACCATGAAGCCAGTCTACATCCCCAAGGTGGAGCTGGATCACGAGCTCATAAAGGGCGTCTGGCAGGGCACCTTCGACCTCAAGAATGAGCTGATACGGGCCGTGCGGCAGCCCCAGGACAAAAAGCCCCAGGAGTCCCCCAGCTCAGGTGACAGCAGCAGCTCCCCCGCTTCCCGGGCAGAGCCTGAGGCTGGCAGCCAGAGGGGTGGGGTGCAGAGCTGTGGGTCTGGTGTCCGCCTCACCTGCCATCCTAGCCCTCCTTCCTGGAAGAGTTCTGGGGCCTTGGTGTTACGACGGGCCTTTCTGTCTGGCGTCTGGAGGCCAACCTGCATGGGTGTGGCGTAGACTCTGGCTTGTGCATGTTTGGGGGTCCGAGAGAGCCCGGAATTCCTCCTGACACCCCTTCCCCTTCCTCGTTCCAATCTATCACCAGATCTCACTTCTTAAATTTCTTCCGACTCCGCCCACTGGTCTGATGCAGCCCCACCAGCCTGCTGTCTGTTGCCATTAGCTGTGCCCTGTAACGATGGTGGCCTCCTAAATGGTCCCTCTGCACCCACGCCTGCAGCCTGAGAGAGTCTGTCAAGATGCAGACCTCACTCCTTTCCCTCCTCCTCCCTTTACGGGCTTGACATTGCTTAGATTATAGACCAGACCCTTGAGCCAGCCTGCAAGCCAGGGCAGGTCCTGTCCATCTCTCCATCCCCAGCACCCCCCATCCCTCTGCAGTCTGTCCCTCAGATATGCTGAGCTTTCCACCACAGGACCTTTGTATATGACCTCTCCCTGCTGCCCACAGGGCTGGACTGATCTCCCCCATCTTCCCCAGTATCTAACTCCTCCATCACCCCCAGTTATGTGTTAGGCAGAGCGGAGGTCACGCAGCACCGGTGCTGCTAGTACCTTGTTTCTGTCCCTTGCAGTGACTGGAGGGGAGGACTGGGGGCACGGCTGTGTGTGTCAGCGCTCTGCCTGCCCGCCGTGGCACGGCTAGCTTCTAGGCGGGCTAGAGCCACACACTGAGCCCTTCCTCCCTGCCGCAGGTGACTCTGGAGACCACATCGCAGACCCCAGCCAGAAAGGCCAAAGTGCGGTGAAGAAGCTCACACGTAAGTGGCCCACCTCGTCCTCACGGCATCAGCGTGGTGGATGGCTGCCCAGTGCTTCAGTTGGGACTCTCTGGGGTCCCTGCTCCTTCCAGATGGGCACAGCCTGTCCAGGCCACACTGTAGGGGCCACAGACCCTGTGGTGGGGGCCATCCAGGGCAGCTGCGGGCTCCTCTGGGGCGGGAAGGAGGGCTTATCCACCTCGCAGGCTACATTCTTCCCACCCAAGTCCCTTCGCCTCAGTAGCTGAGTGGGTAGTGGTCTTTGGGCTGGAAATCGCTTCTGCTCTTCCGGTGTTTCTTGGCTGTTTTCAGGATTCTCCCTCCCCTCCCCCACATTTTAGAAAAATTATTTCCCTGCCCCCATACCCATGGGGCTTTAATACCACACATGTGCACTGTATTGGCTTTTCTTCTGTGCTTTTCTACATATAAAGAGTAGATTTGTTTACATCCTCCTGAACATCAGTTTTTGTCCTTTTGGGGTGATGTTACCCACCTTCTTACGGGTTTCTGGGTAGCGCGGATGCTGCTGATTTGGGACCTGGAGAGCCACTTCCCACTGAGCGGCACACACTCGGGATATTGTTTACCAGCTGCCGTGGTAACTGACAAGATTTTTTTTTGGCCTTCCTGATTTTTGTTTGCTTTTCTTTGTTTTCCTTTGTAGAGATACAATTTATGGGCAGATACATTGTGACAGACATGTGAGGTTAGATGTAATTTCCTGTTAGATACATTATGAGAAACAAGGCCAGAGCCTCCATCCCTGGGAAATGGGGGAAATTCTTGCCTGCTTCTTACGAGCTGGGGCCTCTGCCGCCACTGGTGCGAGTTCTGCTGCTGTTGACACACTTGCTCTGTTTGTGTGAGTCAGATGTGCGCCAGTGAGTATCGTCACATTCCTCTGCAAGTGTGATAGTTGTATACTTTAAAATATCTGACTGTTAGTGCCGGGTGTGGTGGCGCACGCCTGTAATTCCAGCACTTGGGAGGCTGAGGCAGGAGGATCACTGTGAGTTCGGGACCAGCCTGGGCTACAAAGTGAGCTCACTTCAGGTTTAATGCTAACCTGAACCGCACAGCGAGGCCCTGTCTCAAAAAGACAAAAAAAAAAAAAATTTAAAAAAATAAAAAAATCTGAATCTTGAAAACTTTCTTTTTCAGATGAAAAGAAGGTCAAGAAACCCGGTAATTCTGTATTTTTGTTTCTTTTTGCTCTTGAGACTTACCTAAGCCTAGAACCGAAAGCTGGCTTCGAGCGAGGTCTGGAGTCACACACTTGTAATCCTAGGGCTCAGGGAAGCCGAGGCAGAAGGATTGAAAGTTGGAGCCCAGCCTGGACAACTTAGCAAGTTAGTGAGACCTTGTCTCAAAATAAAAAATAATAAAGGGCTGGGGATATAGCTCAGTGCAAAGGCTGTAGATTCAGTCCCCCGTACTCAAACCAGTAACAAACTGGCGGCAGCAGTTTACCTCTTTTACTGAGGTTCTGGGGTGGGCCAACTCTTGTAACTATTCTGTAAGGCTGAGAGGGCTGGGGTGTAGCTTAGTGGTAGAGCATTTGTGTAGCACGGGTGAGGCCCTGGCTTTGATCCCTAGCACCACTAAATAAATACAGCCAGGCGTGATGGCGCATGCCTCTAATCTTAACATGAGGCTGAAGCAGGAGGATCTCTGTGAGTTCAAGGCTAGCCTGAGCTATATAGTGAGTCCAAGGCCATTTTGAACTGCATAGTGAGACCTCTCAAAAAATGGAATGAATGATAGATGTGATTGTCAGTCAGACGAGGTAGTGCACACCTGTAATCCCAGCAGTCGGAAAGTTGAGGCGGGAAGATTGCCATAAATTCAAGGCCGGGCTGGGCCACATAGCAAGACTCTGTCTCAGTACCCAAACAGAATAAATGATGGTAGCCTAGATGCATCTGTGCAGCCCTGGCTACTCAGCTGTGTGTTTATGGAGTGGCTCTTGACAGTCCTCTTGGGAGGGAGGAGAGACCACCCTGCCCCTTCGGGCCCCATCACCAACTTGTGTCTCCCGTCCTTGCACCCAGCCACTACCGCGGCCCCTACGTCACCCAAGATGCCCACCTTTGGGGCCCTGGGACAGGCGGTGGATCTGAAAGCAGCTGACCAGAATGGTGAGTTACTGTGGCTGAGGGCGGGCAGGTGGGGTCTCCCCTGAGGCTATCCCAGCAACCTCTGTCTCTTTCCTCTCCCACGCCAGCCAAAGCCGCTGACGTTCAGTCTCTCAAGGCCAAGGTACTCGAGAAGTTCCTAGCCAAGTCCAGACCTGAGCTCCTAGAGTGTGAGTAGCTCCGCTGTACGGATGGAAGTGTGGGCAGGTGGGCGGATAAAACAAAAAAATAAAGCTGGGCTAGGTGGCACACACCTGTAACCCCAGCACTTGGGAGGCTGAAGCAGGATCGCTTCCAAGCTCAAGGCCAGCCTGGGCTACATAGTGTGAGACTCTGTCTTTAAAAACCCAAAAAAAGGGCCGGGGACATAGCTCAGCGGCACAGAGCCTTGCTTGGCAAACGCAAGGTTCTGAGTTCGATTCCCAGTACCAAGAAAATAAAACAATAAAAAACAAACAAAAAATCATGAGTACCAGGTGGTGCCGGTCTCCAAGGGAGAACGCCTTGGGCCCCGTGCACCTGACCCCTGGGGGCGATGTCTCCTCAGATGCTGTGAAAGTCATCCTGGACTACAACACGGCCCACAACAAGGTGTCTCTGTCGGATAACTACACGGTGGCGTCGGTGGCGGAGGTGCCGCAGTACTACCGGCCGCACCCGCAGCGCTTCACCTACTGCTCGCAGGTGCTGGGCCTGCACTCCTACCGGAAGGGCATCCATTACTGGGAGGTGGAGCTGCAGAAGGGCACCTTCTGCGGGGTGGGCGTCTGCTACAGCAACATGGAGCGCCAGGGCCCCGAGAGCCGCCTGGGCCGCAACGCCGCGTCCTGGTGCGTGGAGTGGTTCAACAACAAGATCTCTGTGTGGCACAATAACGCGGAGAAGACGCTGCCCTCCACCAAGGCCACGCGGGTGGGCGTGCTCCTCAACTGCGACCACGGCTTCCTCATTTTCTTCGCCGTCTCCGCCGACAAGCTCCACCTGATGTACAAGTTCAAGGGGGTGGAGTTCAGCGACGCCCTGCACCCGGCCTTCTGGATGTTCTCCGTGGGGGCCAGGCTGTCCATCTGCCCGCTCAAGTAGCAGGCTGCCAATCCGCGGGTGACCGCCTGTGGGGGTGTCTGAGACCCGCGGCTTGGGGGACAGGTGGGACTCTCTTTGGGGAGCGTCCCTGAGTCCTGGGGGGAGGGGGAGGAGAGGTGATGGGGTAGGGGAGGGGGGAGGAGGGGAGCAGCCAGGGAGGAGGGTGAGGGGGCGTTGCACCTCCATGCCCACCCAGGCAGGTGGCTTCTCCCCCCCTCTTTGCCCACCTGGGAAATCTCTAGGCTGCTGGGCAGTGGGGCAGAGCTTCGGGGAGTAAAATCACGAGTGCCCTCTCCCTCTGGCAGAAAGAAGATCGATATCCGGGTCAGGTTCTTTCTCAGGCTACAGGTGTCTGCCCTTCAGCTCTCTGGGGCATCCTTCTGACCTTGGTGTTTGATTACTCTCTAGACTGTTAAAAAGTTTCAGAATCAGCCAGGCGTGGTGACGCATGCCTGTAATCCCAGCGCACTGGAGGCTGAGGCC